TAGGGCTTTGGGAGTAGATCCCTTCATGGGGGTTCCTCTAAAGAGCCTTTAGTAGTATAGGGTCCCAAATTGGGGGGGTTCTACTTTCTAGATCCTTCCGGGGGTCTGGGTATGTGAGCAATGCAACTAGCAAAATGTAAGGTTGAAGGCATCATGCCGCCTTGAGCTCAAAAAAGTTTGAAGGGGGGTTTAGGGTTTAGGGTTTAAGGTTTAGGGTTGAGGGTTTAGGGCAACCCTAAACTAGTCGAAGCCCCTAGGCCCTGAACCCTAAATTGTTGTGAATGCTGTGTGGTTCAGGCCTCGCGTCCTGGTAGCGGCCAACTATTCCCTGCAGGCTCAGCAGAGTTTGGTCATACTGTCAACACAGCTTCACAAGGGCTTGGTACGAGCATTAACTTATGTGTCACATGGTTCTTACGGTTTGATAGAGTCCTTTTGGGGAGTTCTACGGGTCGAAGGGCATTCTCGACAACAAGGAACATACCATACTTCTCATAGTTTGGTGCCCAGGATACTGCCAACTGTGTCTTTCAACAGTGGTTATCGGGATCGTGATTTCTTTTCGTTCCAGAGCTCATTGTGTTGATTCGGGCCTTGTATGCGTGGTTCCGGCGGGCCTGGATGTCTTGAGGTTCAAGCTGCTCGAGGTGGGTACTGCCAGGGACGTGTTTGTCGAATGGGGCGTCATTGCATAAGACGGCACACAAAGACAGGCAGGCAGGCAGGCAGGCAGGCAGGCAGGCAGGCAGGCAGGCAGGCAGGCAGGTAGGCAGACGAAGGCAGGCATAAACCCTAAACCCTTAACCGTGGGTGGCAGGGAAGGGCTTGACCAGGCAGGCCTAAATCAAAACATGGCAGCGGTGACTTGCCACAGGGGTCTCTCGTTTGTTTTCTTTGCTGCGGCCTGAGCTGATGATTCTGTTGTCCTCTCTGGCACATGGGGAGCTTGCTATCGCAATTTTTGAGATACTAACCTAACCCCTAAACCCCCACAGCCCTCTAAACCCTAAACCCTAAACCTTCAACCGCAGTTTCTGCTCACTTCAGATTAGGGAGCCGGCGTTGACGCGCCACAGAATGGCTATGCTGTCCCTTCTGGCACGGGGGAGCTTCGAAACTTGACAAAGATTAGCCGAGGTCCTTATAGCTTCCCTTATTGGGGTTTAGGGTTTCTGGCATTTTGGGGTTTAGGGTTTTACGGTTTAGGGTTTAGGGTTTAGGGACAGAGTTGTCAAACCTAGGTGTTTCGGGTTTCTCATTGTGATTCTCTGACTTACGTCCCGAACAACGGCAAGTTTTTTGGGGTTGCAGGTAAGGTTTACTTAGGGTCCTTACTCGTGGTTGCAGGTACTTACAGCGAATCCCAAAAAGTTGGAACATGGGTGTAGGAGGATTCGTGCTAGGATCCCTTATACTTTACCTCAAGGGCATGAGGATAACGATCTTCCAACTTTCTGGCTTCTATTTCGGCGTCACCAAATCGCGGCCCCTTCACATCTAAGGTTTAGGGGCTTTAGTGTTAGGGTTTAGGGTTTAGCTCGGCCGCGTTTCCTTAGATTCTTTACTTAACCCCAGCCCCAGAACCAAAATCCTGAATTATAAAACCTTGGACCATGAGAACGTAGAGACTCAAACCCCAAACTCCGCAAGCCAACGCAAAGTGTCCAAAGTTAGTATTGTTTCTGGTTCGCCACTTTTAGTTGGGATTCTGTGATCATAAACCCTATGCTTCCAAGGACCTTATAGATAGGGCCCTAGGCCCCTTAAGGACCCAATAATAAAGTCCCTAGAACCCATAGGAAACAAGAAGCCAAACAACTACGTTTCAGACTACCGCCCTGAACACAACCACAATCCCAAACCTGGCCAGGACAACATGGCTGAAACTTGAGGGTTTAGGGTTTAGGGGTTTAGGGTTTAGGGTTTAACTCCACATCATCATCATCGAAACAACCAGCATGCATGGATGGGCGCCTTGAACGCACAAGATGCCAAAAAGATATCAAATCGTATCACACCCTAACCCTCCAGTCACCTACTATATAGGGCCCTATAGGGGCTCTAGTACCTTATATAGTAGGTACTTGGGGGGGGTTAGGGACAGTTTAATTAATCAGTGATAAAACTTGAATTTCAAAGGTCGCGCTGACCCTAAACCCCAAACCCTAAACCCTAAACCCCAAACCCTAAACCCTAAACCCTAAACCCTAAACCTTAAACCCTAAAATTTCAAAGGTCGCACTGACTGGGCTCCTGGCCTTGCTGCTGGCCGGATGCACGGATCCGAAGCCGGCGCCCGAACCAAAATCGCGCCATGCCTCGATAGCCAGGGCGTTGGGAGGCTTTAAGGCTTTTCGAGCTTCGGATTGAGGGTTTAGGGTTTAGAGTTGAGGGTTGAGGGTAAACCGCAAGGGTCCATGTACCCAAATAGTATGTACTTTGGCCCCAAAGTACCTGTACCCTAAACCCTAAAACCCTAACCCTAAACCCTAAAGCCCTGAACCCTAAACTCTAAACCCTATAGTAATTGAGTATATGGACTCTTACGGTTTCCGGGCATCGAAGGATTTTCGGTGGTTGTCAGGGTCTGCGCAAAACACTGCCGAGAGATGCCTGACCCAGACCACCGGAAGGATCTAGAAAGTAGAACCCCTGATTTGGGACCCTATACTACTAAGGGCTCTTTATAGGAACCCCCCATTAAGGGATCTACTTTTTGGATTCTCCCAAAAGTCTGGGGATAGGGCTAACACTTCATCCCAAAGCCCTAGGCCCCCAACCTGAGCGGGGTCCCTTAACTAAACCCTAGACAAGCCCAGACTATGTAGACCCAAAACGTTCAGGGTTTCGGGCTTAGTTTGAACGCCTCATAAACCCTAAAACCCGTCGAAAACCCTAGACCAGGAAGCCAAGTTCTTGAGAGCTACCGGTCTTGCATGTCGACCCCAAAACAGCTTTGAGGATATGTTGAACTTCCTCGAGAGGGGATAGTTGGGCCCTTCGAAACGGACGTCTACATCGATTCTACCGCACCTGCCGCAGGAAACAGGCTTCCTGATACCCTAAGGGTCCAAAGGACCCAATAATGAAGGAACTTTGGTTGCGGATCGTAGTTATCTAGGTTAATATTTGGGAGAGTAGTTGATTGCTAGGTACTTGGACCCTTAGGGTTAGATTCGTTGAAGGCATGCTTGTTCTAGGACATTTTCAGGTGGGTAGTTACCGTTATGGCCTTATAGAAGGTCTACATACCTTATACAAGCCTTATAGAAGCCCTATATACCCTAAACTCCCCACCTGTACTTTCCTTGAACCCTAAACCCTAAACCCTTAAACCCTAAACCCTAAACTCCCCACCTGTAGTACATGCGTCAGTATAGTCGATTTCGATTTTATTATTTGGCGAGAAAATCTTATTTCTTCTGATTCTAACGTACCCTAAGGGTCCATGCGATGCGCCCAAACAGTATATACTTTGACCTCAAAGTAGTCCCGAAAATAAAGGTACTTTGGGGCCGAAGTAATTATTACCTGCTTGGGTATATGGACCCTTTAGGGGGTACCTGGAGAAGCCCTAAACCCTAAACCCTTTACCCTTAACCGTGCCGTGCATTTCTGGGCAGTTGCCCTCTTCTCTCTCGAGGTAAGAGTTTCTCATAAGGTCCCAGTCCTAAACCCTAAAACCCTAAGCCCCTAAACCCCAAGGCCGTAAAGCCCAAAACCCCTAAACCCTAAAGCCCTAAACCCGGTCCCATTCCCAGGGGATCCTGTTGTCAGTTTATAGCAGATACTTGGAGGGCCGGGGAACGTAGTAAGTAGTTATTTTTTAGATTCACAAGTATTATAACCCCAGTTAGGAGCCCTATTAGGGTACTTATAAGTCTACTTATTACGCACTTACTAAGTCCCCCGACCCTCCAAGTAATGAGTAACCTGTAATTCTAGTGGTTGTATGTTAGGGATTCCTTATCTTCTCCCTCTGCCCAAAACCCTAAACCCCCAAACTCTAAATCCTAAGTCCCGCACTCTGATTCCTAAGCCTGAAACCTTCGAAGCCTAGGTCCTGCAAACCCGAACCGTAAGTCCTTAGCCCTGACCCAGACCCCCGGGAGGATCTAGCAAGCTGAGCCCCCAAGTTGGGGACCTTGTGCTGCCAAAGGGTTATTTTTTACGGTTTAGGGTTTAGGGTTTAGGGGTCTGGGAAACTATCATCAGGTGCACCTATGAGGCAGACGGCGTCGCAATGGCTTTCTCTAAGCCATGCGATGGTTCAAAGCCGAAGCAGGTACGCATGGGGTGCAGGGCCCTGAATTGCTTTAGACGGACGCTGCAAAAACCCTAAACCCTAAACCCTAAACCTTAAACCTTAAACCCTTAAACTCTAAACCGTTCAAACCCTAAACCCTAAACCTCGACATGAAGCTTTAGACGGACGGTTTAGGAATGTTTGGGGGGTTGGGGTGTTGTTGTTGTTTTTTTATTATCTTCGGGGTTTAGGGTTGGGGTGTGGTGGTTTGGGGGATTGTGGGTTGGGGATGTGGGTTGAGGGTGTAAGGTTTATCGCGGCGAGAGGCACAACACCCCTTGCTTTTGAAGTCATCTGCGGCGGTTTTAACAGTTTTAGGACCACCCTACGGCCCTAAATCCTAAACTTCAAAGCCACGGGATCCTAAACCCTTGAACCCTACACCCTAAACCCTAAACCCTAAACCCTCAACCCTAAACCCTAAACCCTAAACCCTAAACCCTAAACCCCTAAACCCTAAAGCCCTGAACCCTCAACCTTCTAACCTATGCCCGGCTTGCTTCTGCTGGGGCTTCCGGCGTGTAGGGTTTTTTGAAACGGAGAGTGCCCTTTGGGCTAGGGTTTAGGGCTTATGGGTTTAGGGTTTAGGGTTTAGGGTTTAGGGCTTATGGGTTTTATGATATTAAAGTCAGCAACCCTTGTATCTCCCAAATGATTTGTTTACGATCCCGGACACGATTCTGAAATACGAGTGTCAGTTTATGTACGATTGCGATTTACGTTGTCATGTACGATCTACGACGTCATGTATGGAATCGTACCTGGAATCGCGCATGGAATCGTACTTCTCTCCGGAATCATACTTGGAATCGTACTTTGGAATCGTACTTGGCTCCGGAATCGCACTTGGGAGTCATACTCGGAATCGCGTATGGAATCGTATTTTGCTCCGGAATCGCACTTAGAATCGTAATTTGGAATCGTAATCGTACTTGGAATCGCACTTGGCTCCGGAATCGTACTTGGAATCGTACTTTGGCACCACAAAAGTACCATTTCAGGTACGGTCCTACGTGGAATGGAAGCGTACTTGGAATCGTACTGTTACATGAGAAAGTGCGATTCGATGTACGATTGGCTGCCTACCCACGCCTACGCCCCCGGCCAGCCGGATCGTTCTTTGAATCGTACTGGAACCTGCACATGGTCCTGCAATCGTAGTTGGTATCGTATCCAAATCGAAGTTTGGATTCGTACTGGAACCTGTAATCGTATTTTGGCATCGTATCTAGATGGTATTCAATTCAAAAAAATCCAGGATATACAAGACTTGCTCGTCCCGCACTGTCATAAAACTAGTTCAAAAAGAGACCCTGAAATCGTATGCCCCCAAGCCTATAGTGAACCGCAACAAACTTGACACTAAACCCTAAACCCTAAACCCTAAACCGACACTGACACATGCATTCCAGATGATTCGCGGGCTGGGATTCCCCCTGCTTTGCCTTACGCGCATGTGGAAGATTTGTGTTCCAAGTATCTGGCTGCCTAAAGCTAAGCCCGGTTTAGGGTTTAGGGTCTAGGGTACCCTAAGGGTCCAAGTGCCTAATTGTCATATACTTTCCAAAAAAAGTAGTCTACATAACTATGATCCCAAAACCGAGTACCTAGTTATAGGGTCCTTTGGACCCTTGGGGTAAGCTCTAAACCTCGGGCCTTAAGGCTTGAGCCCTACCGTTCTAGCCTAGGCCCTAAACACAAACCCCTAACGTCTGGGGCTTACTTGGAGGTTCATGGGACTTAATAAGTACAGTTATAGGTACCTGAATTGGGGTTATAAGCAAGTATAAGTATAGTTACCTTATGTATAACCTTAGGTACTAAGTCCCATGAACCTTTAAGTAAGGCATTTCAACGCGAACACTCACCTTGTGGTTCTTGGGCCCAACAGCCTCAAACTAGCCCTCAGGCTCAACATAACCCCAAAGCCTTGTGTATGATGGCTTTTGGGCCCAAAACCCTACAAATGAGTCCCTGGACCCTATACCCTAAAACCCCAAAACCCTAAAGCCTTAAACCGGCCCTAAACCCTAAAACCCTAAGACCCTTAGAGTCTTAGGGTATGAGGGCAGGCTTTGACGGGTTTTCTCTGCTCAGATCCCGACGCCGGAGAGTGCCTTCATGGATTATTTCATGGACGATGCAGGCCTGCTGTGTTTTGCCAGGGTTTAGGTTAGGGTGTAGGGCTTTGGGGTGTGGGGTTTAGGAAGTTTAGGGTTTAGGGCTTAGGATTAGGGCCTGCTTCTTTGTTCCAAGGGTTTCTGGAAGAGTTCCACAGCAGGCTCTTTCAGACGTTGAAGGAGCTGCTAAGCAGCTGCACGTGGGAGGATCCCTGCATCGAAGCCCTACAACCAAGAGGGTCCATGTACCCAATGGTGTATACTTTGGCTCTAAAGTACCTTTGTAGGTACTTTAGGGCCTAGGTGTTAGTATGTGGGTACCTGGACCCTTGGGGTAAGTAATCCTATCGAAGCCCTAACCCCTAAACCCCTAGACCCTAAACCCTAAGTAAACCCTAAACCCTAAACAAACCCTAAACCCTAAGACAGACTAGGTTCCAGGCACAGTTCCGGCGTGTGCCCAGATCCTGGAAGTAGGGTTGTTGTATACAAGCCTAAGGGTCCAAGCACTCTAAACCCTAAACCCTAAACCCAAACAGTAGTGTTTTGGAACTCGAAAACTATCCTCCGAAGGGTTTTGGAAGCTAAAACCCTCATGTTTGAGCGCTTGGCCCCTTAGGGTAAGGGCTTTCAACAGGATTTGACGTCGTTGTTGGAAATGTTACCGTCAAGCCCTTGAAGCCCAATTCCCTCACCCTGCGGGTCCAAAGGACCTAAAGGGTTTAGTGTTTAGGGTTTAGGGTTTAGGGTTTAGGATAATGGTTTTGTAGGTTAGTCCTTGGGAGAGTATATGAAACCGTCATAAACCGTTAGCAGACATTCCCCTAGGGTCCATGTACCCAAATAGTTTAGGGTTTAGGGTTATAGACTTTGGCCCCAAAGTACCTATATAGGGACTACTTCAAGGCCGGAGAAAAAACGATTTGGGTAGCTGGACCCTTAGGGCTTTGTACATCCTTCATCACAACCTTCGCAACCTTGGACCCTTAACGCACGCCTTAAAGGAACGCTGAGATGGAAGGAACGCTGAGATGGAAGGAACCCTTAGCAGGAAGCCTTACATGAACTCTTCAAGAAGCCATTGAAAGAACTGTTTGAGGAACTTCTGAAGGAACCCTAAACACCCTGGAAGCTTGAGGTTAGGGTTCTTGGTTTAGGGTCTAGGGTTAAACCCTAAACCCTGAACCCCTAAACCCTAATCCCTGAACCCTAAACCCTAAACGCACCCCTTCCAGGCTTTGTTCAGTTCACGCTCAACTTCACCGGAAACCAGGCGGGCCTCCGGATGATCTGTGGCAAATAACACGGTTTACTTATTGTGGGAAATTGGATGAAATTACCGTCGTAGGCATGTACAGGAAATAAGTAGCAAGAACCCAGCAAAGTACCCTTTCAGGGTGCAAAGGTATCAAACTTCCATAGCTTAAATAAACAGAGATTCTATGGGGTCTTGCAGGGTTTCGTAAGCATTGTAGTTTCAAAGGTCAGGAGGACCCAAGAACTGGTTCGGTGGGTTTGCAATGCAGGGTAGTTTTCGGGAGAATACGTGACTATTAGGTATTGGGACCCTTAAATTTAGTAACCCGAAACCCTAACCCGAACTCATTTGTTCATTCTGGTGTCCAGTTTGCCTTCTGCTTCATGTGCAGGCCCTGTACCATAGATCATAGAACCCTAAAAGCCGTTTAGAACCCTGTAAAGAACCCTAAACCCTAAACCCTATATCATAGAAGCTCAATAGCCTTACAGAGCGGGCCGATGGTGGACGACATTACCCTCATGGAGCCCTTCCAGGGGGACAGCTTCACCCTCAAACCCCTCTCGCCGAAGGCTCGGCGGCCTTCTTGTTGAAGGCTTTTGGGCTCAAAGGCCATATTAGGGAGGGTTTAGGGTTATGGGTTTAGGCCTTTGGGACGTTGTACATGTTCCTCTTACTGGGCCCAAGAGGATCTCATGTACGAATATTTGTTCAAAGGCTTTCAGGGGCCGTCCTAGCATACTATCTAAGACTATTTTGAGCCTTGGGGACAGAGCCCTTAATCGAACGAGCACTTCAAGGAGCCCTTAAACGATCCGGAAAGGGAACCCCAGAAAACCCTAAACCCCAAACCTTACTTAAAGGTTCATGGGACTTAGTAGCTAGGGTCATAAATGAGGTAACCATACTTATAAGTACTTATAACCTCAATTAAGGTACTTATAATTGTACTTCTTAAGTCCCATGAGCCTCCAAGTAACCCTCAACAGGCGTTTCGGGCTTCCAAGCCCTCCGACTTCACCAGCGACTGGGCCATGCAAGGGATGTAGCATACTGTACAGGGTATAGGGTTTAGGGTATACCTCGGATCAATCAACCCTGCGTCCATAATTATGCCAAGAGGAAAATTATCTTGGGGTCATTAAGGAGCTTTGGCCCGAACAAATTGAAGCACAGCCATGCATATCCTTTACGGATTACGAAGGCATCTCGACGGGGTCCTGGAAGAGCTCGTGCGTCCATTTGCACTGTCGAGGCAATCCCTCTTCCACAGTTCGTGATGCTGATCGCCACAACATAACCAAATTTCATGTGCAGCTGCTTGCAACGCCTCGTCACTGGAGGAATGCACGTCTTATGATATCGGTTTTCCGCGGAAAGATGCAGGCACCATGGTGTCTAAATCACGAGTCTACGATGTCTACGTTAGGATTAACAGCATTGCTTCTTAGGGTTCATATGCTCTCCGTATACAGTCGCCAAAAACGTGGTCGAATTGTTTGGGCTTCTGTATTGCTCCGGTAGGAAAGTTGCAGTTGATAAGGTTTGCGGAGCTTCCAAAGCAGCACTCAAGCGCAGATTGCAAACGTGCCGTCCCTGCGAGGGGGTAGGTATGGTTTTACGCGCTTCGCGTCGCCCGCCTCGGCCCGGCTGCGCAGGTATGCGCTGAATCGGCCGGGGCCGAGGCGAATGCAAACGTTAAAGATGGTGGGCTTGCGGCGCATCGACTGCCGCTCTCAGCCAGTGCAATTAGGACGGGCAGGAAAAATAAGCAAGGTGGACAATAAAGCAACAAGAATCGAAAACAAAAACAAAAGTGTCGGAAAAGCGGAAGCAAGAATGGCGGGAAAGCCGAGCGAAGGGGGGGGGAGGGGGACGGGGGGGCAGGTGGCTGGCCGAGCCCAAATGGAGTCGAGATTTCACCGCAAAACCTTGGGCTCATTTATGCAGTGACGATCCCCCCTCACTCCCCCACGATACCAGTTTTGGAGGGTGGGGGTCAGTGGGGGGGATGAAGAGGTGGGGATTAGAGGGAATCCGGATAGGAACCTCTGACCGCTTCGGCCGGGGCCGAGGCGAATAAGTTTGTCTTTACGTGCTCTTGACTGTTGGTGTACAAACGGTCAGGGTCGCTTTTTTGTTTTGGAAGAGCAGAAGTAGTGCGGGGGTTTTAGGCTTGCAATAGTTCGGGATTTTACTGGTAGAAAGTTGTCTTGTGTTGTAAAGGCACCTGTAGGGATTTAGGCTTCCGGCAGCTGTTGTGAGGTTTTGGTTGAGGGTTGTGTAGGTGTTTTCATAGACACGGGTGCCAGAAGCCTTCACGGGTCGGGCTATTGTGGGATTTGCTTCTTGGTGGCATAGGGCTTCGGTGTTTAGAGTTTGAGCGAGGTGGAAGTATATAGTCATGTTATGTCATGTTCGAACCCTAAACCCTACCTTAACCCCGAAGAACCTACCTTTCTACGGACTTATATAAAGAAGCTATAATAAGGAACCCTAGAAAGGTAGGTTATTTTGGGCCCAGGTAAACCCCGAAGCCCCAAACCCTAAACTTCCCTAAGCCCCAACCAAGCACCTTGTGTCTTGACGGTTGGGGAGCTCCTTTGAGCTTCCAAATAGAGCCTAAACCTGAGTTACGAAAGCCCTGACTTTGCAAAGCCCTAAACCGAGAGTGCCGAGCTCTGAACCCTACACGGGCTCTAAACCCCGACGTCGAAACCCCTAAACCCTAAACCCTAAACCCTAAACTCTCAACTCTCAAC